CCGTGTGGCTACGGAAAACTAAATCATTATAGAATTTACGAAAATTCAAACAGACCTTTTTATTGTGTTAGTGATATGATTAGTAGGTGCAGATTATTCTACCTTCAACTGAAATAGTTTTCATTTTTTTTGTCGTCATTAAGTTTTCATTTTTAAGCTATGCATGCAATTACTCTTGATATAACATTTTTTCTTATGAAGATCAAGAAAAATTCCTTAAACTCAGATTCCACAAAATAAGCAAAAAAAAATATACTTTTAGTGAAAAACAAATCAATTGTACAAGCAAAGAATCACTCAAATTATTCCCAACAAACAAAAATCAAAGGAAACTTGTTGGCTTTGAGAAATTTCTTTTGACGATAAAACCAAATTTCCGAACAAAAAAAAGGAGCACTAATCTTTTTAACACAATATATATTGATACATACACATAGTTTAAGGTCATAGAGACTGAAGCGGCTCCGACTCCTCGGACCTGCTCGTAAAGTCTAACCCTCGAAGTGCCGGTAACCTCTTCATATCGTCTTCCGTGTACAACGGTAAGAACCAATACATTTTGTCCCTTCCAAAAACCTGATTCAAGAAAAGAAAGAAACCAACTTCTTATAAAGGCTTTGATTGTGTTTATGTCCAAGATTTCATCTAAGTATCCGGAAACTACTTCTATTCGACGCAAGAATCGGCCATAAAAGCATGAGTTTTGAGTAAGATAAAGAAAGAGAACCTGTTCAAAGTTAGTCTTCCCACCAAGGTCGTAAGGCCAGTTAGGAGCTGTATGTTTCTCATATGCCTGACAGATCAAAAACCATTACTTTGGTCAGTAAGCTTATTGCCATTACCTTAGACAATAGAGAGCCCTGAGTAGCTAAAGTTAGAGCAAACCCAAGTGAGAGTTTTTTTACCTCAATAGTTGTGGTGTTACGCTTGACCAGCATTATGTGCATAATTAGGAATCCTAGGACGCTTAGTGCAAATGCTATGTTCAATACTGGATATCAAGAGAGGGAAGATCTTGAATTAGATAACCGAATTGGTAACGTTAAGGTGTTCTG